AGGCATTGCACGACACAGGTGCACTTACCTACATGCAGGCAATACATGCACACACATAAAAACAATAAAAAAATTTTTTAAAGGAGTGTAAAATAGCTTGTGCCATAATTAGATTAAGAATCTTAGTGGTGAACTTTAAGTGTCTTCTTGACTGAATTATGAATACCTAGAGATCTAGTAAAGCATTATTATTGGTTGTGTCTGATGATGATTCTGGATGTTTCCATGGGGCATTGACATATGAGTTGATGGACTGAGTAAGGAAGGTCCATCCTCAGTATGAGCAGGGATCATCCAATTGACTGGGGGCCTAGGAAAAACAAGTAAGACATAGAAAAGAGCTCTCTCTGTCTCCACCTATCTCTCTCTTTCTCTCTCCCTCTCAGCTCAGATACATTCTTTTTCTCCTACCTTGGATATCAGAATGCCAGTTCTCTGGTTTTTAGACTCCAGGACCAAACTCTCAGGTCTTTGGCCTCAGAGTGAGTTATGCCGTCAGCATCCCTGGATGTGAAATCTTTGAACTTGTACTTAATCAGGTACAGAAATCCCAGGGTCTCCACTGAAAGTTGCCTGCCAAGGAACTTTTTTGACCCCATGACTAACTGCAGAAGCCTATTCCCGGACCTGTATCTATACACATATCCTCCTGGCTCTGCTTCTCTAGAGACTCTGACTAACACAAATCTAAAAGTAGCCACTCTCTTGCATTCCAAATCATTAGGTCACATATATATTTCTTCATTTTACTGATATATAAGTAATATAGATCTGAGAATTAGGCTTGAAACAAAAACAAAACTGTATACCTCTCAAACAACTCAGCCTCTAAAACATGCACCAATCAACTGTCAAAGCTTTTTAAAAACCAAAGGAAAGAACTTCTTAGAAGACAAGAAGGCCTGGGCCTCAGAGAGAAATATGGTAGCAAGCTCTTCCCAGAAAAGGTAAGTGGGTTGTAATGTAAGGATCTTCCCACCTAGGTGGGAGAGGAGCTTATCCATGCCTGTCCACTGGTGCTATGTACCAGTGACAGCTCTGTCTTCCTTTCTCCTGACAGAGAACTTAATTGCAGCATGACCAGCTGATCTTTTCCCCAAACTGTATATTCCTGGACCAGTTATTTGTCACATTTCACTGGGCTGGAGTGAGGAGAACAGGTGAGGTGGGGTAACCTGTTTAAGGTCAAGTACTTTAAAAAGTAGCTGGGTCAGCATGAAAATCCCCTAAGAAAAGTGAAAAGAGAATCAAAACTCACCAGTGGATAAAAGATGGTCAATAGAAAAATATTGTTCAAAGTAGGCAAAAATCATGATTGACTATGAAACAGTCCCTACAAGAATCACCACTGAAAAAAACCACAGAGCAGAAATGCAAGAGATCAGGGAGGGACAGAAAGATGACATGTGAAGACAGACTGTGAGCAAGGAAGTCCTAACACAGCACACATCCACTCACAAACAGAAAGAAAAAATTAACAAAATGAAAACAGAATTGTAAGAAAGATAAAGAAGTAGAAGGGAAATGACAGGCATAGAGGTCAGCAACAAAGTCATAACAGATGGATGCTTGGAATCCCCGGAAGAACCAAGGCCACACAGCATGGAGAGCTGTAAAGATGACAATCAAGAAGACTTCCCTGAAATAAAACGGACAAAGTCTAGCAGTGTAACTTGAAGAAGTAATCTTTTAAGAAGCTAAACAAGGGGCTGGAGAGATTGCTCAGTGGTTAAGAGCATTGGCTGTTCTTGAAGAGGACCCAGGTTCAATTCCCAGCACCCACATGGTGGCTAACAGCAGTGTATAACTCCAGTTCCAGGGGAAGCCAATGCCCTCTTCTGCCTCTGTGGGCATTGCATAATATGGGTGTACTTACACACATGCAGGCAATACACTCATACACATGAAATAAAAATAATAAATATTTTTTAAAGAAAGAAGAAAAACAAAAGATCAAGATGGAGGTGAAGGGGAGAGGGCAAGGCTGGAGACAAGGTGCCTACAGCAGCATTAACTTCCATGTGAGTCATTAAAAAGAAAACGTGAGTCAGTCAAATGGTCTCATCATTCCCCAATGTCCTTCAAGTGAGTGCAAGGATACCACTTTGAACAATGGAAGAAAGGGAATATTGCACCCCCATAGATCCCTGAGCCTTTTTTGAGGCAGATTCTCACTATGTAGCCTAGGCTGGTATTGGGTTCATTCTGTAGCTCAAACTCAAGATTTTCTTGCCTCCTTCTTCTTTTTCCATCTTCAAGTGTATATGTGGTGTGCATGCATGTATGTGTGTATGCATGTTTGCATGTGTGTAGGCACCCATGTGTATGGATGGGTGTGTGTACATGTGTGTGTGTACATGCATGTGAGGCCTGCAATTGATATCAGGAATCATCCTCCCCTTATTCACTGAGGCAAGTCTCCTAACCAAATCCAGAGCTTGCCGATATGGCTAGCTTAGCTAGCTAGCTTGCTCTGGGAATCTCCTGTCTTGTCTTCACCTTCTAAGGGTGGAATTCAGGTAGATTGTCATGCTCACCCAGCATTTATGTGGACTCTAGGAATCTGAACTCCAGTTCTCACACTTAGGTTGCAAGCATTTTAACCACTGAGCCATCTCTCTAGCTCCCTTCCTGCCTCCGTCTTCTGAGTGCTGGATCTCAAATGTACAGCACTGAGTTTAGCTTCTTCCTGCGCCATTACTAACTCCTGAGGATGATTTACAGCTGAACAAGTGATGATGAAGAAAACTACGGTGGAAAGATTAGAACTGAACCCTGGTCATGTTTAATGCAGAGCAAACGTGAGCATCAGGATGTGAGAATAGAATAAAATTGTCTAGCACAGTGTTACAGAGAATGAGCAATACTTGGTATATGAAGGGAAAGCAGTTCGCTGACTGTACTAAAGGGAATAGCTGAGACCCAAAAGTTATTATTAATAACTATTATTAATAATTATTAATGCTGAAAATCACATTTAATAATTTAGGGTAAACATTAAAAAGATGATATCAACTAAAATTTTGTGGTAGAAAAAAATAGGAAAAAGAGATGTCATTGCTCATAATCAGGATCTATGCATAATGATTAATGAAAACACCAATGTTGTTATACACTACTATAATTATAAAGGAATCTCTAAGACAAAAACAATACCCCAAGTATCAGGACATACACACACACACACACACACACACACACACACACACACACATACACACACAAAGAAAATAAGGCAGAAATTGTCACAAGAAAGAAATAATGATAGTTCCCTTATGATCAGCTGCAAAGATCATTTGCAAGAGTCAGCTTAGGGTAAACATTCAACTTTTATCTAATTAAACTATCCTAGAAAGACAGGGTGAGGAGCCCTCTGAAAGCAGGGTGGGGAGGAAGAAAAAGAACTTTTCCTCTTGCCCAATGGGAAGTTAAGAAATAACCCTGAGAATGGAAAATTCCCGGTGGCAATATAAGTGTCATACTTAAAGTCATGGAGATTGATATTGAAATCATCAAGCAAAAGAGATAAAAGTTGTCTTCTCTGCAACAATAAGAAACTGAAGAGGGGCAGAGAGTGTTTTTTCCACCTCAACCTTTGTAGGATATTTTAGTTCTATTATATATCATTTTAGTGAGAAATAAAATCTTTACAATGGAATCTGTGTGCAACAGAGCAATCTGAGTTCAACTGACCAATTCATATGTTCTCCTTCTGCCTTGACATTGGGTCCTTCAAATAAAATGCCCCCCAGCTGTTCTTTCTGAAATCTTCACTGGCTTTGCTTTTTACTGAAAGCAGTCACCGCTTCTGCATTCACTGTGTTGAGAGAACCTAGTCTCACAGTCTCAGAGGATAAACCCAGTCTAACCATTCCTCAGGGCGGCCTCCAGAGACAAAGGCATTAGCAAATAAACAGATACCTATGGTAGTGATGACAGTCCCAGCAAAGAAAAAGGCACTTCCAAGGTCCCAGTGACTGCTGCTGTTGGTAGAGTTTCCAAGTGGACTGACTCCTGCATTGTCAGCATCAAGGGCATGCTGTAAGAGAGGGAAACGCACAAGAATCGGTTAAAAGCATTTTGTGAAGCTTCCAATAAGCTACTGTCCTGCTCAAGAACCTGCACAGATTGAGAAACCCTTGAAACTGACAAAGGTCCATATCATAAGGTGACATACCATATACTCATGAAAATTAGTTTTCAGTCGGAGAAAAATCTGGGATTTAGAGTACAATGCCATTTATATAAAACTTAGAGGACAGATGGTTTAGACGATAGAAAATGCATCCATACTACTGTGTGCACAGATAGATGCCTAGCCGAATGGACACGCAAAGTGGTCATTTCTGGAAAGGCAAAATTTCAGTTTCTTTTTCACTCAACTTGCTTCTGTCTTAGCATATTTTACACTGAGCTTGTTTGAACAGCACAGAAGTTTAACAGCTGAGAAGCTCGGGCTCAGCTCTACCTGTTATTAATTCCAGACTCGTGGGAAAGTTGAGGCTAAGACCTTCCCTTGCAGAGTTGTAAGGATTCAAGGAGACAGTCCCTGTAATATCCTTGGCTCCTGTCTGTCTTGGTTAGGGCTTAACAAAGACAGCCATGTGATATTAGTGACAGGGACACATTTGTCATTGTATAAACATCACAGATGTTTATACAATGGCTAAGACATCGGTAAGTTTACTGGGGCCACCACCATACGTGTGATCCACTGTTGACTGAAATGTTACATGGTACATGACTGTAATATCAATCACCTCATATACTCACCCACAAACAGAATTATTGGATTTTAAAATTACATTTTTTAAATTTATTTATGTGGGAGGGGGACGTGCATGCACCATAGTGCACATGTAGCGGTCAGGAAGACAACTTGAGGTCCTCTGCTGCCATCAGTTGGGTTCTGGTGATGGAATTGAGTTCATCAGGTTTAGCAGCAAGCACCTTGACCCAGCTGAGCCACCTCGAAGGCCCTGCTGGCTTTGTTAATGAACCCAAATGACTCTTCACTGACTGCAGAATTTGAAATTCCATACGGTTGCTCAGTATTGCTACTATACTGTCCAAAATGATGGCCCAGTCTCATCTCTCAGCAGTGGGAAGTCTCTACTCCATGAAGCATTCCTTCACTCCCTTGTGTCTTTGCTAACACACTCCCATAAACTATGGCCATTTTCCAGGATCTAATTCAGGCTCTTCTTTTTCCAAGAGCCTCAGTCTGTGCATCACAGTCCCACAGTTGATCCCTTCCCCAGGTCCCACTTCTGTACCAATTCCCTACTCCTAATAATCCTTCTCTAGCTTCAGCACGAGCAGAGGAAGATGAAATCCTCTGAGCAGCCCTTCTTGAGCTGTCCCTGCTATCTTGCTTCAGGTGGGGCAGGAGGGTAGAGAGGAGGTACAGCTCAGGCACCTACAGTTCACATAGGTGGACTGTGATGACAGAACCTCCATGTGAGGGCTTCACGGAGGAGGTGGCAGGTGCATAAGCTACTCAGAAACCAAGACTTCATACCCTGTTCAAAGTTGGAATGACCCTATGCAGCAAGGACAAGGCACAAATAGTAAAATGTGTTTATACTTGTCCTCAGCAATACCCATTAAGCTTGGCTTAAACAGGCACGTAATGGCTATCACAAATCAGAGGACAGCTGAAAAAGTCAATCATCTGTATTCCTTTCAATATGGACACTTAATGAGATAGTTCCAACCCTCCAGACCAGGGGTGAGCAACCTTTTCTATAAAAAGCCACATAGTAAATATTTTTTACATTGGCAGAGTCTCTGTTGCATGCTTTTCTTCTTTTCTTTTTTAAATAACCACTCAAATATGCAAAACAAAATCATTCTTCAGCAGTGGCACAAAAACAGGCTGTGGGCTAGATTTGGCATGGAAATAAGATTGACTGGATGATGGGGGGAAAACAGTCTCTGTTTAAGTCCTGACACTAATCCTTCTTACCTTTAAGAACATGGAGTGCTGTGAAGGCTGTAGGCAACATATATTCCACAGTTTCTAACATGTGCACAGATATTTTTGTCAATGGTTCAAATCAGCATTAAGTGACAGAATCATTTTTCATCCAGAGCTATATTCTGGTTGTGGGTGTGTGGGTGTGTATGTGTGTGTGTCTGTGTCTGTGTGTCTGTGTGTGTCTGAGTCTGTGAGTCTGTGTGTGTCTGTGTCTGTGATTCTGTGTGTGTCTGTATGTGTGTATGTATACAAGTGTGTGCGTGTACATGCAGGTGTGTATGTACATGTGCACATGTATGTATGTACATGTAGAGGCCACAGGTGAACATCAGGTGCCTTCCTTTACTGCTTGCCACCTTATTTTTTAAAACAGTCCCTCACTGAACCTGGAGCACACCAAATGGACTGGTTGGTCAGCAAGGTCTGGGATCCATTGGCCTCCATCTCCCCAGCACTGGGGTTACAGATGAATGCCACCCAATCTGACTCTTACACGGATGCTGGGGATCCAAACTCAGGTCCTTAAGATTGCACAACACATACTTTACTAACTGAGCCATTTCCCCAGCCCCTTACTCCACTTTTGAGAGAGAGAAGTGGGGAGTCCTGTCCTCTGCTAGCATCTCCATTTTCAGTATGCTGTGTGAAAGCTATCCAACCACACCAGAAGGTCTTAACCAATGTTTGCACCTTCATTATCTATCCAGCTGTGGTGGCCACTCACCCACTGTACTTCCAGAACAGTGCTAGGTCTCAATCACTTGGGCCTCAGTCACACCACCAGAGCTAATAATCTATATCCTCCATAATCCTTCCAAGACAGTTTATGTTTAGTCAAGTCTCACAGTACTGAAAGTTTCACAAAAACGTCATAAATAAACCCAGGGAAACACATAAAATACAGATTTGCAAGAAGGGCAAATGGAGTTGATTATTTGTTACATCAAAAAATCTGAAGATACTTTTTCAAGTTCCATTTTTCTTGAATTATGCATTTGATAAATATTTAGTGTTTATATATGTGATCCCCAAGGGAAGTGTTTATCAACTGAAAGGAAAAGGAAACTATCATTTGTCAAATGCCTGCATTCAACCGGGTGTGTTAGAAGTGTTATTTCATTTTACTCTTTCCACAATTTGCAAGAAAATGATGTCGTTCCTGCTTCCCCAATGAGCAAACAGGCACAGGAAAGTTAGTGGTGTGGCAAAGCAACAGAGCCACGAAGTAGAAAAGCCTTGACCCAGACCCTGTGCAGGCAAAAGTACATGGTTTTTCCCAGTTTCTCCACATATGATAACCAGAATATACTCTACCTGCCCCACTTCCATCTTCGTGTCCACATGGAGATGAAGGAGGATGGCCACTGTCCCAGAATTTAGACAGAAGGGCCTCACAGGGTTATTTCTAACTAGACTACTTATACATGGAAGTGGAGACCCCCCAACTTCATTTGGCTGTTAGATCTGGTGATAGTTAACTACTCTGCATTAAAAATAAAATTAGGGCCTAAGAAAAATGTTTGGCAGTAAAATGTTTGCCTCAAAAGCATGAGGACCTCAGTTCAATCCCAGGCATGGTTTATAATCCCAGTACTGAGGAGGCATAGACAGAGGATCA